AGTAGCCGACACGTGTTGTGAATGTCTCCAGACCGGCGGTCAAAGTGGTCCGTCTGGAGGGACACGAAGCGGTTAACCTCCTCCGGCACGCACCCGTCGAACAACGGGAGCTCCTTTGGGTACTCGATCGAGACGGGTTTGGCAAGGCCCGGCCAAAGGAACGAGATGTGGGAGGCCGCGCTTATGCAATTGAAAACATACGACTCAGCGTTGGGGACCGAGTCGACGTCTTGGACGACGAAAGCCATCATGGGGTCGTGGATTACGACAACGCGTGTGAACTTTTTGCACAAGTTGAGCAAGAAGGCGGAGAAGGGTTCGCGAAGAGTTAGCGAGGCGTACCAAGCAGGTTGGAGTTGGGTGGGGAACTTGTAGGGCGAGTCGGGGTTGGGTGGTGGGGAGTCGAAGTGTGGAGTAGGGATGTCGTGGAAGTGGATTTTTTGGAGGTCCAGGGGGTTAAGGCCGTTGGCTCGGGAACGGGCTTGGCGGGAAAAGACGGGTGGGGCGACGTAGTAGACGGGGATGCCGTAGGAGGAGACGAGGCATGAGAGTTGGAGGAGTTGGTTGAGGTGGCCTTGGGCTGGGAAAGGGACGGTGATGGCGGCGACGTGGTGGTGGTCGAGCGGGGTGTGGTAGTTCGTGGTGGTGGTGGTATTGGTGGTGGAGGGTTGGGTTTGGTTTTGAGGGTTGGTTATGAGGGTGGCCATGAGGGAGGTGTTTGAGGTGTGTGTAGTATGGGGTGTGGAGGGTTTTTTTCATCTTTGTGGAGTGGAGAAAGAAGTTATATAGAGGGGTGTGTGTGAAATCGACAAATTTGCACTCGAAGATCTTCGGTAGTTTGTTATATAGAGGGGTGTATGTGTGTGTTAAATTGCCAAATTTGCACACATGATGATGATCTTTATGTAGTATCAATGTGGAAATTAGGTGTCCATATATAGCTAAAATAACCAAAAACTTGAGGATTACTTTCGTGTATGGCAAAAATGACGAAGAAAGCTTGTGCTAGTCAATCATGTGTTAGCTAAGTAAGCAGAACTACTTATTTCAATAAAATATGTATGCGTTTTAACTGAAATATTACTCTTACAAACAATATATTAAAAAAAAATGACATTTATAACAAGAATATAAAAATGATATTTATATTAAAAAAAAAAAACGATCCACACAAACGATAAATCCGCCTTATACAAGGATTTGTGGTTTTGTGAAATTTTCCTTTTTTTTTATTTTTTTTATTATTATTATTATTATTTTTTATTTTTATTTTTTTTTATTTTATTTTATTTTTTTTTTTT